ACGGGGGACTGCGCCCAGGAACCACTGTTGTAAGCAGCAAAAGTGAGAAGTACCACTGCCATGGCCGAAAATACCTGTTGAATGTCTTCCCAGCTTTAGCATCCGTAGGGCTCTGAGCAGTCTCAGTACTTGGACAATGCGCCCCACGTTCTCCAGTTCTTGGGAGCTCTCCCCACCACACAGGCTCTCCACCAGCAGGGTGATGTAGAAAGGTAAAATAGCAAGGAGGTCTATGATGTTTGCCACACTCCTTAGGAAGCGACACCGATCCCGAGCACACAGGAACCTCAGAACAAACTCCACAGTGAACCACGCAATGCACAGGTACTCTAGGGCATCCAGTAGCGGTGGTGCCAGCCAGCTTAGCTCTACCGAAATCAAAGCCATGTTGGCAATGGACACAACAACAAAAACCATGGACAGAGTGCCGAAAGTCCTGGCTGCTGCAGAGGAGCCAGGCTTTTCCAAAACTTCCCAAAGTTTCTGCCTGACACTAGGACAGAGGCTACCAGAAAAGTCTTCTTCTTCATCTTGAGCATCCAGTTCTTCTGCATCTTTCTTGATATCTAAGGCTTCACTCAGCTCCTTCCTCCTGAAGTACCTGCCCAGAAAACCCCCAAAGAGATTTTTAATGCCAATATGCGTATGTTTTTCTTATCCTCTACCACCTGAGGCACAAAAATACACATTAAAGTATACCTTATGTGAGCATACAAACCCCTGTTGTCAAGCATATGGTTGATGATTTTATTAATTGAGACCCTGAAGCATGTTTCCATTGACCTGATATTTCTATTCCCTCATTTCACATCAGTGACCATTTGTATGTGCAGAGTAATTTTATTCTGACAGCATGTTATTTACATGGATCGTGTTGACTACAGTGGGATCTGCTGCATGACTAACATGTATTCTTGCAAGCAATCCTGGCACAACCAGACACTCTGTTTCTAAATTGTCCTCAATTTTATTAATTATGTTGCATTTTTATTACATTGGTGTGTATCTGCAATACTAAAAAAGAAGGCATAATAAAAGCCATGCAGTTCAGGGGTGAAGTTCTGATCAATACACTCTAAGATGTCAAATTATCTTTCTTTCTTTAAATATATGGGTCCTTGCACAACATGCACAAGTATTTGTGCCGAGTAAAACTTACAGATTGTAAATACATAGTTGAGTGTTTTGTTAGAGCGAGAGTATATTTACAGAACAATTTATTGAAACAAAAGCATTCCCAAAGTACACTAAAAAAAAATCCTTTTCTTTTGTATCTGTATTTCTTGACTGCTCCAAATCTCAAGTCTTAGACAAGGGGGCTATGCAATTTTGCCTTCAATTTTGCCCTCATTTGATATACAGTTATTCCTGCATGTGCCAAAGAAGTCTGTAGCTCCCTTGCACCACCAAAGAAGTAGCAGATTTCAGTTACACCTACCAGGGGAGGAAGAAAGGGATGAAAACTAGGATTCAACTCTCTCAGTTGCAGAACTATACGATACTGCAGACAATACTATGGTATGATAATTTCAGTATCCTTTTGGTGTGGGGTTGCTTCTTTGTTTCTTTCTAATAAATTTGACATAACCCCTTTAGATAAAGAGTAGTTACGCTGTTTAGCAGTTTAGAGAATTCATTTCTTCAATACTAACAAACAAACCAGTAACACTAAAAATGGTGGGGAAAAAAAAAATAACTGCAAATAGAATTAACTGAAATGTCCTGGGGGTGGTTCAGTCGAAACCCACCTCTTTCCTAAGCTGCCTGTTACAATTTGTCTCTCGTGAGCCATGCTCCCGCTGTTGCTGCCCCCTCCCTGTAAGCTGCTACATCCGTGTGCCATGCTTCCCATCACGGCTCCTCCTGGAGCCATGCCACCCACACTCAGCCTGGCAGGTGACCACCCCCCCCCCTTCTGCCTCTCCCACTTGGATCTGGAAATCCTCCAGAATGAGAAGTGTGGAGTGGGGAGGCTCCAAACCCTCCCAGCAGCATGCCTGACTCCACATCCAATCCCTCTAACTAGGATAAGCCCAAACTGGATGACTAAAAGGACATCTCTCCTTTCATAACCTTTTTCACCTCCAGCATTGTCCCTCTCAAACATTTTTGAGCTTCCAGGGCCCGTCCGAAGCTGGTACAGGACAACCCAGACCCTGCTCCTGTTAGGGTCTATCTTGACCCCACCGCCAACCTGTCCCTCAGCAAAGCTCAACATTGACCTCACCCAACGCTTCTTCCATTTCTTACACCCATCCACCTCTAGAGTAGGACTCGGGGCTAAACTCAACCCAGCTTTAAGCACACTTTTCCCAATGCTCTGCTACCTCATCTACCCCCACTGCTGGATCCCTCACCTGACCATCCCCACATGCAAGTCAACGCTCAGCACACCCAGCCCACAATCCTGAAAAATCCACAACGACCCGGTCTCTGCAGCAGGCATCAATGCGGAGCTCATCCAAACCCCAGTTCTAGACCTCCTGCAGGAAGGAGAGTGCACAAAGCTGCTCCATCACATGCAGCCTCCCTGTTTGGTAGTAATTCAGGATGTAGTGAAACGCCTGTGAGCTCCGGTCAAAAAAATATTCATTCTCCACGAGGTTGGCATCATCACAAAGCTCAAGGAGCCCAGAGGCCACGTCCCGGGCAGCAGAGACCACTACGGCCAATTTGCCAAGACGGGTGTCAGGGTAGCAAGACAAAGTTTGCTGGGACATCACAAAGCGGCTGCCTCCTACGTTGATAGTAAAGCAGTCCAAGGAGGGAATGACCTTCTGCAGCAGGGGCCCCTGCTCATCCTCACTGGAGAAAACACTGGAGTCCAGGGAGCCCAGGGACGTGCTGCTCCCTGGTTTCTACAGGGATGCTTGGGAAGAAAGAGACATGCAGCAGGGAGGCGACTTCATCCTGTAGCTGCCAGCAGCAGCCCACACTCTCCTGGATCGAAAGCACAACAAAGCTGCAGAGAAGCCTACCCCGCCGGGGGGAGGGTGGGGGGGGGGGGTGGCCGGGGCCGC